TGGTATCGGTTAACTTTTACGAGTTAACCGATACCACATTTTACAGTATCGGACCCGATACCAGTATCGGTATCGGTGCATCCCTAATTTAAACAATACAAATTAACAGTTGAAATAAAGAACAACTTAACAAACTTGTAGGGATTGATTTAAACCAAGATGTTATATTATATAATCTGTAAAAGTGCAAAACATAAACAAACCCGGGATAGTAGATGTTTGCAGACGACATGTGAAATATGGTTCAATCAAAACAAGAATGTTAACTAAGAATAAAGACAAATGGTCTTCTCACCCACTTTGTCACAGCTGGACTCTTTCAACACTGAAGAGAAAGTAAAAACAGAAAGATTCTCGGGCAGATCTGTTTGGGTGGACAGGTGTGACTGATTACTGTCACACTGAGGATTTTCAGGGAAGGTGTGCAGCTAAGAGAATAAGAGAGGACAGTAACACTTCTAAAATCCCTGAAAGAAGAACTCAAAGGACGGAGCTGCCGTCTGAATAATAATCTGTCCACATACTTTTGGCCGTGCAGCGTCTGAGCCAATCTGTGACGCAGCCGGAAACCTCGAGGTCGACGCCGTCGTTAGCTGTTAGACTCACACACATACATGAACACACACCCTCACACACACACACACACACACACACACGCACACACACACACACACCACCTCCTGACCTGGACCTTTACAGTGGGCTTGTATATGCTCTCCTTTTGTCTCCGCTCAGATTGAATCTTCTTCTTCTTCTGTGCTCTTTCATCCTCTCATGTTTTGTCTGCACAGCTTTAAATAATGAAACATCCAGTAGGAGCTGTCTCAGATGGAGGACCACATGTTGTTACTGATTACAGTTGCTGCCTGCTCTGACTGATCTGTCTCCGTCCTGTAGTACCGATCATCCCAACATTCCTCTACGCCATCGAGCATCCGAGTCCAGAGCCACAGACCGCCCAGCCCTCCCTGCTCCCTCTGCGCGGCCTCGATGCATCACGTCTGGGCACTGCACCCTCACAGCCCCCCTCCTCCGCCTTCAGCCTCCAGACGTCCAGACGGACCTCCCAGCGCCTTCACCTGCCTCGGCCCAGTACCGGTGCACCGGTCCAGGTTACAGGGCCGACCCTATCGGCTCTGGTGTCCCTGTTTGATAACTCGACCTTCAGCCTGACTGACGTGAGTGCCGGCACCGAACCGGCGGACCGGACCTCAGTGACCGCGGATGTGCAGGGCAATGAGACCGAAGTAGGTGGAGACCACGATACCTGACCAGCCCATCACTTCATGATCAATAATCAATCAGCTCTGGTTCCTACTGTTCCTCTCTGTTTCCTCGTTTCCTTTCTTTTGTCTCCTCCTCTCTGTGATTAATCACCTTGCTCTCTCTGCCCATTTCCTCACTTCTCTCTAAACGTTATTTTGCTTCCTTGTTTTGGCTTGTTTCACACATTTCCTTTCCTTAGGGCTCTTCCTGTCTTCAGGACAGTTTGTTTCTGGAAGAAGAAAATGTTCGAGTTGGTTTGTTGTTTGCTTCTAAAGCTATCATCCAGCTGCTCGTCAACCCCTTCGTTGGTCCACTGACTAACAGGTAATATTATTATTAGTAGTAATAGTAATGTTAGCAGTAATAGTAATGTTAGCAGTAATAGTAATGTTGGCAGTAATAGTAATGTTATCAGTAATAGTAGTATTGAAAGAGAACATGCAGAGAGGCTGAACCTTCTTGTTCTGAAACTGAAGAATGTTTTTCTGTCTGCAGGATCGGGTATCACATCCCCATGTTTGCTGGTTTCATCATCATGTTTGTGTCAACCATCAGTAAGTTGTTGCGCACACACACACACACACACACACACACACACACACACACACACACACAC